TTAGAGCAATATAAATATTTTTTGCAACTTTTCTAAGAGAAACCCTCAGCGTTTAAAGCACAATGTCTGCAATTCATCATCAAACAAAACTTTAGCAGTTTACTCAAGCAAACCACAGAAGAATCTCCTCCTTCTCCCTAGAAGCTCACACAGGGAGAGCATGTTTCACAGCTCCTGTGTGCATACACAAGTCAGATGACTGCTACACATAGAACAAAGAAGACTATCACATATCAGCAATTTATATGTGTAAACATTATACATCAGTGATCATCTTGTGTTCTTCTGCTACAGGAGTGTTTGTGTCTTATATTAGTTAGATGTGTTTATATAGCTGTGACTTGATTAATACCAGAGTACATTTTATGAATGCAAATGTTTGCCTTCAACTGCATGCAATTAACTTTCTGTATTTCATATTTTATATCACTTTTCTACATTTCTTAGACAGTCAGCAGTCGCTTTGCATCACATTTTATTTAAAGTCGTATGCTTAATACCACAACTGAAAAAAAGGTCTTCATTGTGCTCTGCTCTGCTTCTCAACCCCCATACAGAGCTTTTATTTTCATGAACGGTGTTTCCAAACATGTCCTGTTGCTTTTAAAGTGACAGCTGCATAAATCAAAGTCATATTTGCTATTTTTTCTAAGCAAACCAGGCAGAAGGTTTCCAACAAAGCGAACATTTATCTGGACATCTGGACATGGTGAGATCAAACGAGGCCAATTTGACATTGTTATGTTAGTCACTGATTCGACATTAAATTTAATGTTAATAGAGCTTCTTTGCCATTATTAATGCTGAGAACTAACAGCCTTACGGTGAGCTCACACTGTGCTTTGCTACAGGTCCAAGCACATTTCAGTTGTTCTGAACATCTCAGCTCGAGCACATTGAAGTTAGCTGATCACCCAGTGTGAGTACACTCTTAGTGTATTCATGTTAACCTATAGCTAGAGGTTTCTAGTATGATTTAATAAAGGCTCTGGTCATTCGTCCCTAAAGTTAACACTGACAATAAATACTATATGTATTTCCAGATCAGTTCCCACTATAGCTTTGCTTTGAACAATGTTGCATATTTAAGATATGTAACTGTCATACAGTAAACACAGATTTGGTCATGGTAAACATTTCCAATGAAAAAAATCCCCAACAAATTTTCATTAATCTTTCATCACAACCAGAGGGTGGTATTTAACATGATCACAACAAAACGATTTCCCTCAGGTATGTCTTGAAATGTTTTTTACATTTTAATCTTTCACCATATTAAGAACAACTGAATGTTCTTATGTGTGGATACTCTGGTGTCTTGTTAGATCCTCTACTCGTAAATATCTTTTCTTACAAATGTCACAACCAAATGGTTTCTTTCCTGCGTGAATTAGCATGTGTCTCTTCAGTATTCCTAGCTGTGCAAACTGATTGCCACAAACTTCACAAACAAATGGTTTGTCTCCTGTGTGGACTTTCATGTGTGTCTCATAATTCCTCTTATTGTTAAATCTTCTATTGCAAGTGTCACAACCAAATGGTCTCTCTGCCATGTGAACTTTCATGTGCCTCCTTAAAATTCCCATCTGTGAAAATCTTTTACTACAAACATCGCAACCAAATGGTTTCTCTCCTGTATGGACTCTGGTGTGCATCTCAAGATTTCGCCTAGTGTTAAATCTTTTACCACAAACATCACAACCAAAAGGTCTCTCCCCTGAATGGACATTCATGTGTCTCTCGAAATACTTTTTCTGGGTAAAATTTATATCACAAATACTACAGTTAAATGGTTTGTCCACTGAATGTACAGTCTCATGTCTTTTGAGATCACCTAGTTGTGAAAATCTTTTATGACACACCACACAACCAAACGGTTTCTCCCCCGTGTGGAGTGCTTTGTGCATCTTCAGATTTCCCTCTTGGTGAAATCTTTTGCCACAAAAATCACAACCAAATGGTTTCTCTCCTGTGTGGAGTCTTTTGTGCATCTTCAGATTTCCCTCTTGGTTAAACCGTTTCCCACAAAACTCACAACTAAATGGTTTCTCTCCCGTGTGAATTCTCATATGCGTCTTGAAATTTAAACTCTGTGTGAATCTTTTGTCACAAACACTGCACGTGAAAAGCTTCTCTCCAGTGTGGATTCTCATGTGTGTCTTAAGATAATACTGATCTCTAAATTTTTTTTCACAAACATCACAGCTAAACGGTTTCTCTCCTGTGTGGCCTCTCATGTGTCTATTAAAGTTGTAGAGATCTCTAAATTTTTTTTTACAAACATTGCAGCCAAACGGTTTCTCTCCTGTGAGGACTGTCATGTGTGACTCTGCATTTTGCTTCACCCTAAAACATTTCTTACTAACCAAACAGCTGGTAGACCCTTCTGCTGACTCCCTTCTCATATCACTTTTTACTCCTGACTCATCAGTACCGCTCTCCTTCCAGCCACTGTCACTGTCTTCTGTTTCAAGTTCAGAATCCGACCAATGTTCCTGCCAGTCATCATCTTCATCATCATCATCGTCATCATCAATACTGACTTCAGTTTCATAAGAGTCTGAAGCCTTTCCATCAGCCCTTGACTGTATATGACTGTTCAGATCTGCGTTCCAGGCTGTTTCTGCTGCTTCACAGTCTTCTGCATCAGTTTCTGTTTTTATCTGCTTAGCTGAGCTGCTGGTTGGAGGCTCTGCCTGGAAGAACTTGGGTTTTTCTTCATCATCTTCACTCTTTATGGAAACAGCAGTTAATGGAAACCTGGTGATGTTATCCTCTTCTGGCCTATTAAGCTGTTCTCCCACACAACCAGGTAGGAGTTCCTCCTGTTCCTCCTTAATGTGGAGGAGGTCATCATGGCATGAGCTCCAAGGAACCTCTTCTTTAATCACCAAGATCCGCTGGACATCTGCAGGGAGCAATAAAGACACAAGCACAGCTGTGACTGTGTACTGACACATTTCCCTAAACCTCTTATTAATATTTAGAGCAATATAAATATTTTTTGCAACTTTTCTTGGAAACTGAGTAAAATTAATAATTGTGTAATTATGTTCATCTCACCTTTATTGCTTCATCAAAACACTGACAAGGGCTTTAAAAAAATGAAAGACTTATGTAGATCAAGTTATACATTTCCATAAAATGTGTAAGATATTTAGATTATAACATTTGATCTGAAGATATCTGCAGACTTCAAATATTAGCCTTTCAATTGAGTAACAAAAAATAAATACAATTGAAAAAAAAGGACTATTAAGCTCAGAACAGATATCTTTTCATATTTATGTATGGGTGGGATTTGACCAGGAGACAGATCAAATGAAATGATTGAAAACATATAATGAGCTAATACAAGTCTTATCAGAACTCCTGTTCAAAGAGTTAATCATGAAGATATTTACATCAATACGAGAAAGCTTCTGATCATGCATGGAGGGTTTCACCCCAAGTACAGCACCTAGAGACAGTATGCTAAGCGGAAGGAAGGAGGCCGGGGGACTGGTCAGTGTCGGTACCACAGTCCAGGATGAGACAAGTACATAAGGTGGCGAGAAGATGGCCACAACACCTCAAACAGCAAAAACCCAAGAAAGAGGAGGAAGAGGAGGCACCATCATGGAAGGACAGGTCCCAACACGGTATGTACCACCAGCAGATAGAGGAAGTGGCTAACATCCAGAAATTCTACCAGTGGCTGGACAAAGTTGGAGTGAAAGACAGCACAGAGGCACTAATGATGGCAGCACAGGAACAGCGTTTAGCGGTTGTTTTTAAGAAGCAGTATAAATGTAAACCACTGTCCTTTTCAACATCACCTAGTAGCTTTGAACTGAGTGTGTTTGAGCTAGAGCGCTCTCACACAGTGCTCTGTGCTGTGGTTTACAGACCCCTCAAATACAATAAGGACTTCTTAAATGACTTTTCTGATCTGTTGGCTGAAATTATGCCAAAATATGATCATGTCCTTATTGTTGGGGACTTCAATATTCGTGTGTGCTGCCCTGACAAGCAAATGGCAAAGGACTTTTTAAATCTTACTGACTCTTTTTTTAAATCCCAGGAACAACATCAGAGATCTCCAGCAGCAAAGATTATGCGCAGGACCCTCAAGCTCCCAGGCTTCTGGTAGAGAACCCGAGCTTGAAGGATAAAGACCTCCAACAGACGCGGGAGTGGAATTTTATTTATTTATTTTTTTACTGCAAAAATAATGTTTGCAAGATCAAATGAGCCACATTCCTGATACCTGCAAGCTGTGAAGCAGCAGAAGAAGAAGACAAGCCTGGAGGCTCTTCCTCATTTTTCTCTTCAGCTGGGCTCTGATTACTCTGTGAGAACTGGGGTCCATCTTCATCATCTTCACTCTTCACAGCAACATCAGTGACTGAGAACCTGATGAAGTCAGCTTCGTCCGAGTCATTGAGCAGATCCTCCTGTTCCTCCTTAATATTGCCGAGGTCCAGACTCATGCTCCAGGGAACCTCTTCCTCAGTCTGCAACATCTGCAGGAAACACTGAAACACACATGCACACTGTGTATTCAAACAGGTCCTCAGTGCATAAATTGCAGCTATAACGATTTGAAACTGTAATTACACAATTAATTACACAAATATCTGTATCTCAAAATTATTTTAAAAAAGTTAGTTTTTTTGCCACTGCACACATTTTTGCCATCTGAGAATGACTGTAAGTATTTACCGTCGCCTGCTGGAAGCCAAACCTGTCCAGCTCTGATTCTTGCTGACTGCCATGACTCTCACAAAGATTGTTGAAAGGTTTCAATTAACTGTCATGAAATTCATGAAAGCAGACAGATTGCCAGCATGTTGGAATCAGTCAGAGTCAACTCACCCACTCTATCAATAAGGAAACACTCAAACCTGAGTTTCTAAGGTCTGTGTCAGGTATGTCGACTTTCAGAGGTCAGTGATTTCTCAGCAGTGAGCACACAGAGCGGCATTCATGTTTCGTTCTTTCTTTAATTTATCCATAACAGAAAGATGACTTACTTTATACATTAATAAGCACAGTTACATAACATATATCTGTGAATGCAGCTATTCACCAGTCTGTCTTAGTACGTGAAAGTTACAGTATGTTAGAGTTGGTTAAACTAATATGCAGAGTACTCAGTACAATCAAACACAACAATACGATTGGTTTAACATG